TTCTCCCACAAAGTTACTTCAAGTAGATCACTGCTAAAAGACTCAGCAAGTGGCAACCTGGAGACATTATGTTTTCATTTTATATGGTATCTGCTTCCTCTGGGATTCCCTAGCCAAGGTACTGCATAATCCTTTTCAATAAAGCAACACTGTTCAGGCAATTCCCAATACAGCAGCTAAAGGAAAAAATAATAACCCTTAGCAAAAAATACACAAGCTATCTACAATATAAAAGAAAATCCACTTAGATACAAACTAAACAGGAAACTGAAGTGTCTTGAGTTTAAATGAGGGGAAGTTGCAAATGAGTTCTGGCTCTCTAGAGAATAAAAGCATTTCAACCTTATGGTCACTATCAGCAAAAGATCTTTTTTATTCCATGTCCTCAAAACCTCAAGTCCATGATCCCTATCGAGTGAGCATGAGGGAAGATTAATTCCCTCTACATTAACTTCTTAGGTCTTCTGCCTTGAACACAAGTTCAAAATTGCACACAGCACCCTTATCCAACAAGCAGTCCCTGGGTTTCATAATCTAGGTTATCCTTCCCAGGCAAATGCAGTTTATTATATGGAGGAACGCCAAAAGTTAAGTGTGTAAGTTTATACAGACATACCACATATTTGTATTGGATTGGTTGAAAAACCCAGCTAAGGAAAACAATAAAGAAAAGAATCTAAGAACAGAGCATTCTTTGTATTTTTGTAATTTTGGTTTCTAAATAGACACACTTTCAGGAGTTGAATAGGTAATTATTTTCAAAACTTACAAATGAGCAGCAATGAGTAAGACAATGGGATAAAACATTCCAGCTGAACTTTATGTGCAACTTATATTTCATTTTAAATACCCAGCATCCATGAATTTTTCAAATTTCTCTTACATAATCCAACTCATAAAGGTTCAATATACAACTTAAATAATTAAAATGACCACACTTCTGTTGAAGTGAATGTTCCAATTATTATTGATGTAGAATGAGGAATGCACAACAATGTCTCCTGATCAAGTCCCAGTACATTCAACACTGAACTCTACTGTCCAAATTACCGTCACCTTCAAAAAAATGAAGAAATCTAAGCAACAAGAAGTAAATTTAATCACACTGTAATTATAAAAGTAAAAGAAATTAACTAAAAGAAAATTAATAAAACAACAGAGAAACAGTTTCCCCTTTGAATGTCAGTTATCCTTTCAAAATTATGAAGATGCAAATTCAAGAACTTTGTTCAGTGTCATTAACAATCATCTACAAAAAAGAAATACAAACACAGCATGGCTGAGATAATCATAAAGTTAGCCCTCCTCTGGATGTTATTGAAAAGATATGCTCAAAATCAGGATTAAACCACAGAATTAATATGAAGCACAGATCTTTGGAGGATTTGCAGATGTTTTAATGAATAGTTTCTGCCTCATGACATGAAGACCTAGATAATACCTCCACTGTGCAAGTGTTTTTTCCCACTGAGCAGCTGAGGAAACAGACTCATGATCACAGTTCCCAGCTAGTATTCTCCTTGTTCTGATGGAGACATTTGTGACTCCACTCAGTTCTTTATCTCAGTAAGTACTTGGGGCTGACAGCTAGAGATGGACCTGACTTTATGGTTCCTGGTCCTCTTCACACCTGTGCTCCCTGTGAAACCCTGCAGCTTCCCCACTGGAGCCACACTAACTCTGTGAGCAGCTTCCACTTTCTCCTGTGGATATTTTCAGGTGAAGGTTAGGACAGAGTTTCCCAAGGTGAAACAGCACCCCTCAGCAAACCCAAATGTGTAGTAAAAAAGAGCATTTAGTGAAGAGCCAACAGCCATGTTTGGCAGTTAAAAATCAGTTCCCCATTATCAGTAATCACTGATTTAGCACTGATTGGAAATCGGTAGATTTCTTTTTCCCTATCATTGTGACAAAAAAGCTTGTCATGCACATGAAACCCTTCATGTATATAACCTTGTCCTTCTTCCATACTGTACTTCATCTATAGAATACAGGACCAGATTTTACATGCTCTACTCACAGGTAATCTCTCTGAATGAGTCAAGAAACTTCTGACCTCTATTTGGGTTGAGTCAAAATTGAAGCATCAATGCAAACTCATAAAATTTCCATAATTATTCAAGTACTGGTTATTCATAATAAGCTAAAACTGTTGGTCAGAGAGAGAATGAGGAGCAGGTAAAGCTGAATGATGAATGTGCTGGTTCTTGGCTCCCAGCCATAAAATTCATTCAGCTATGGTCTGAAGTGATAAAAAAATGGTAATTCACAGCTAAAATAAGCCAATGTTATATTGTTACATGATCATTCTCTTGTCCAAGCATAGAAGAAAGTAAAACTTCAGCTTAGTGATGTGCCTCCAGCTTTCAGTGCTATCTGTGGCTACTTCTCAAGAACAGTATATAACTTGTCCTCTGCTTAGGACTGTTCTTGAACCTGTAATTATGCGAAATAACTTGATGCTAGGTCTAGAATTCCAAAACCCACATCCCATGTTTTCTCCAAGGCTGTCCAGCAAGAGCTCCTAACCTAGAAACCTAAACCTACATTGGTTATCATCAGACTTGAACTTCATCAAGTGAAGTCAGAGGCACATCTACACATCACTGATCATCAGCACAACATTGATACTGGCTGCATTATAAAATTATGCCAGTGCTGGCTCCAATATGGAACTGCCTGTAATTCCTTATTCTGGTAATACCAGCATGCAATTTGTTGGACAGATTGTATAATCCACAGATGAAGGCAGTTGTAGGTTTTGATTTTATCCAGCATTAACAGCCCCTAATAGTGTAGTTCAGCATAGACATAACAAATGAAAATGGCTTTAAATTATCCTTCCCTTGAGACATAATTTCATAAGAGAACAAACTCTATATGCACAAAGAGAGATTTCCAATGTAAACATGTGGTGGAAGCTAAAAGCTTCAGTTAGATTTAGGGCAAAGTAAAGGATTAAATTTCAAAGACGCCCATTTCTTTCCAGTTCACAATATATATATTCTTTTCTGCTGACTTTTCTGCCCTTTGTGCTCAGAAGATTGTGTCTATTAAAGAAATCACTTTTTAACTTTTTGAGACCTTACTGAGCTTTGTCTCATTTTTGCCCTCACACAACAACTCTGGCTGGAATAGAGAATCTACAGTTGTTATAATGGGTAAATTATAAGCAGAACCAGAATCATTACCAGCATCTGTGAGCATTTTAAATTATCCTTTACATTTTCAGAAGATGGACTCTAGAATTTTGACTAACTTATTAGCTAAATTGAAGATCTTAAACTGTGAGGAAAGAAAGAAGAAACATGTAGTAACTCCAGTATCGAAGATTCTTCAGGTTCTTTTTTTTCTTTCTCCGGATTAACGTAATACAAGTCCTGATTTTGTATTTGGTAAGATGCCAAGCAGAGTCAGAAAGAAAAGTACTTTACAGAGACAAATCCAATCCTAGTGCTAGAAAAAAATGTATTTGTGAGCATAATATTTTTTCCCTCTGACTTCTTAGTTCTCTGGCAAAAATACCTATGAAGACCCTCTGACTTCTTAGTTCTCTGGCAAAAATACCTATGAAGACATATGACAACCATCATTATTTGAAGGTTTGACCTTATCACCTTTCATAAAAACACAAGACCAGATTTACATGCAACAGAAAACTTCCAGTCCTTTTGCACTGGTATTGACTTATTTCAAAACTGAAGTTCAGATCCCTAAAGGTTAATCACTTTTGTTGGATTGTCTTTTCTTCAAAGACACTATTTTTAAACCCTGCTAACATTCAGTGCTGAAAGAGCACCCTAAAAGAATAAGGATACAAAATTATATAAAAAGTGTGCAGGGGGTTAAAAAAAAGGATGAAAATGGCAAATCTGGGAAGAACATAGGGGTGCTTATACAAGCTAGCATTTGTATGCAAGCTTTACACACTGTAAAGTGGCATCAGGGTTATTATTACCAGCATTTACAACCCAAGAGATCAAAAGAGTACCCTGTATGTACAAAGGACTAATTTTGTTAGTGATAAAGGTTTGTATGGGATGCAGCTTTACATTTCTTACTTGACCAGTTTTGTGCTGATATAATTCTAGCTTTGTCACTAGTCCTGATACTACACAGGGTAGTAAAAACAGACCTAATCATAGCAGAATGTTCCTTTGGAAGGTTTATTTTGATTGGCCTATCATTTAATATTATTTCTGTTTTAAAGAGAAGGGTTCATACAATAAAGGAAATGATCCACTCTCCTATTCCTTAGTCACAAGGAACTACAAGTCACTCCCTCAGCAACATTTACCACATATAATTTACCACCAACCACAACCTTGATCTTTTACTGTGTTGCATTTTAGGAGGACACTGTTCCTGACACTTAATCCATAAAAACAAATTTCAAAGTTATCATGTTTTTTGAGAACCAAGGCCCAGGAAGTTTATTTATGATCTCAAGAGAAAGTTAAATGTTTTAATGCTAGAACTGCAAATATCACAAGAGGCAAGATGTGAAGTGCATGATGTGTTCAGCTAAAGAACTGATAATTGACAACACCTATATATGCAAAATTTTTACACATATTCTCTAAGAATTATGACTAGTGTCTCCACCTTCAAATTCCATCTTAGACAAACGCATCTGAAGGTACTGGTGTTTAGCTTTTGGCTCTAAAGACCATTTTGGGGTTTTTTGTGGTTTTGTTGGCTGTTTTGTTGTTGTTGTTTTAAATCAATGAGTGGTTGACCACAGACTAGTCTGCAATTTCCCAAAATAAAGTATTTCATTATTAGATGGAAAAAGATTTGATAATCATAACAACTCCAAAGAAAAACATAAAAGGAATGACCATTCATCCAAATTGCCCCATCAGATCAATTGCAAAAGACTTCTTTTGCAGACTTCTTTGTGGTTATCAATTAATTTACCTACATGCATATACACATGCATAGGCACATAGATAGATATCTCTTTTATTATATACTAAACCAGCTTTGTGTTTATTTAGGAGAGATTGGTGGTATATGAAAGTCACAGCTGGTTCAAACACTCATCTCCTGAAGAACATTTATGCTGAAAGGAAACTACACATTAGAATTTGATACTCCTGTCTTTTGAAGAAGTCTAGCTTGAACAAGTATGGAAATGGACTTTAAAATTTTTTTAGATCATCCAAATCAGGTAAATAAAAGGGCTTTACAAATGTAAGCTTAGAAGTTTCCTTTAATTTTACTAAATAACTTCCCTATCTTTTATTTTCTTTTTTTTTTTTCATTTTTCAACAGCCCCCTGAGAACAACAACAACAAAGAATGTCATATTTGGAGAAACTATCTCTACAAAACATTTTTTTTCTGAAAATATATTAATATATCATTCTGTGCTGCATGGCTTTATCCTCTGCAACTTCACCTCTTTGACTTCCTGAAAAGGTCCCTCAGGACAAAAATGATGATTAATGTCTATATGGAATTGTTTACAGCCATATCAGGTATAAAAAAGGTGAAATAATAATAGAACTGGACAGCACTTGAATTGCATTCTGTAACCCAGTCAAGCTAGTAACTGAACATTTTAAACTATCCTTGGAGCCACGGAGGAGACCACTGCATGCATTGGCAAATAATTCAGCAATTTCAGTAATAATTGTGAAGATGAGCATGGAGTGCAGCAACCAAATAGAACAGAAAGATCCATTATCATTTAAGCTGGAACACAGTCAAAAGGAAGCTGAAACCAGCACTTCACCATGAGATACCCAGGAGAGACAGTTATTTCTGAGGAAGTGAAGTTACACAAGAGTTCTGTCAGATAACAGGAAGCCAATCGAAAAATGAGATGTTAATTCACAGGAAGACACAAGCAACAGCCCCTGTTTGCTGACTCTCCTGCTTTTTTGCCAGATGTAGCAAGAATATGCCATTTGCAAGACAGATAACTTCTTTCTGAATGCACAGAAATCACAAAACAAGGTCACTTTTAATCTAAATCCCATTTCCAAACATAGCAGGGCTTGGGCATGTTGGGAAAGAAGTGCTGAGAAAGAAGCACCCAGTTCCTCTTGAGAGGGCAGAGGAGAAGTCCTTCATCTTCTATTTGTGATCCTTCAATTCCTCCTACTGAGTAGGCTTGATCTGGAGTATGAAGTATGAAGTAGTTACTGAGAAAAAAAGAACAACCCACAATAACATAAGGCCTGATAAACAAAAAACTTGACTCTCCAAAATCTTCCTTCACAGAACATTTTAAAGGTTACAATATTGTAGCTGGTATTTAATTTTGATTCAGAAAGTAAAAAAATACAGAAGCAGAAAGCTGTTCTTACACAAGTCAGAATGTATAAACACTTGTGCAGAGACCTTAAGGACTAAGCTGTGCTATCTGAGTAAACTGGATGAAGCAGCTTCAAAAATTTCCAGTCCCTTTCAGTACCTTCCATTAGGCATCCAAACATCTCATTAATCCAAACACATGAAATTTGATCACCTAAAGGAAAGACAAATCCAGGGGGTCCCTCCTGTGCTTTATTCTAGCCACCGTTTAACTTAGGGACTCCAGTGCCTCATTTGAAAGTTCCACTTCCGTAAATAGTCTTAGCTAAAGTTTTTGTGAGCCACACATTGCCAAGTGAGATCCTGAGTACTTCTTCAGCTAACAAACCAGGATTCAAGGCTCATTCCTGTTGCCTTCAATGTTCCATGATAAAAACATTCCTTCTCCTAACTTGACAAAATGTGGGAGAACACACAGATTTCTGATACCTCCAAATTCTGTCATACGTCTTCATCCAGAAACCGACCTAATGTTTCAAACAACCAGAGCCAAGTCCTAAACAGACACCTCAAAGAATAGGCCAGTTTGTGAAATGTAACACCTTCATCTGTAGGTGTAAACCAGAGTTCACCTGTTCTGAGAGAAGTTTGAGCATTTGGGCTGTGTTGTTTGACTAGAAGGGCTTCACCCAGACCTAATGCCCTTAACCTTGAGCTGGGAACCTACAGCCTTTTGAGTACTCAAGTTGCTTCCACCTCTTTACCAGTTTACAGTGTAGTTACTCTGTAGCCCACTGAGAGAACTTGGCCTACAAAGGCATTTCCACAAACCACCATTCCTGGCATCAACATGTCTTCAATCTATCCTCTGCCTATAACATGGTAAAATAACTGGATATTACTTTACTATGTTAAAAACTAATCTCTCTCTCTTTTTTTTTTTTTTTTTTTTTTTCTTTTTTTTTTCCCCCTAAATATCAACTTCCAGGCTGCCAGCCCAGTCCTGGTGTTTCTAGCCTGCCAGCTGACCATACTAGGGCACTGGGGATTCACACATCAGTAAATATTTCAAGAGCCATGGCTACAACACCTGTTTTCATCATCACTGCTTTTATTGTCAAGACATTTACAGTGACAACAATTTCTGCGAAGAAAAAAAAATATCTGATGTCTTCTATAGGGAAACCCAGACTATGCATTCTTTGTCCTGCTCCTGTAACTGATCAGGTTCTTGAGACTGATGAGGGATGCTGGGCTGTGCTCATTATTCACAAAATATCTACTGACATTTAAACATAGTTCAGTGATATGTAATGTGATAGAAAATAATAAAATCTCACTTTATATAAGTGGCTAATCTCATCAGGACCTGTTTCTGTACTGGATCATCACTTTTCATACCAATAATCTACATCTGGCTACAGGGAGAACTGAGAACTTGACTCACTTATATAAGTGAGGTAAACTCAGTTATAGCTGTGGAAATAATTGATGGCCTCAGTACAATTCAGAAATCCCACTCAGTTAGAGGCAGATATCATTTTGGATGTATTTTTAATGTCTACAGATTACAAATGAACAACTTTTATAACTTTTTTATAACTTTTTTAGTGACAGCAATCAACCACTTGAATGTTCCCTTTAAAACAGGGCAGCAGTCACACCTTACCACACATCTTGCAAATCAGACCTGTGGTTTCCAGCTGAGCCCTCTGCATCCAGCACACTGGCAAGCATGCAGAGCCTCCTGAGCCATCCAGTGTCTCAGTGAATGATTGTTTGTTTCGTAAATATTACTGGCCACAGCTCAAAGGAGCTTTTCTATGCTTTTGATCTCCACTACAAACACAAAGGACTGAGCAGCATGTGGCCAGGAAAAGCTGCATCCAGCAAGAGGCTATGAAAACTTCTGCCCGGAGTCAGTGAAAAAGGGAGGTAAGCTCTTCCACAACAACTACTTATACAACAATTCTACTTTTCATATTCAGAAACTGTAATTTGCAGCCATCCATCCTTTCTCAGAAACCCAGAAGTTTCATGAGGGTATGTTTCAAAAGAACACGTGGTTTTGTGCACCTCACCAAGCTCACATGTCACTGCATGCAGAAATAACAGTATGCACTCATGCTATCAGTGAGAAGGAGTAAGTTACTCTTTAGACATAATGCCTAGAAAAATGAAAGAAGAGTTTTCCATTAAAGTATTTTATAAAAACTTCTAGAAAAACATAAAAGTATTGTTAGTGAAGTGCAGAGTTATAAGTATGCACTTTACTGCATGCCTCAGGATGATTTCAGATCTTCATTTCTTCCACAGATGCATTTCTTTGCCAGGTTCTGACAAAACTGTTCAGAAACTCAATGATTATATTGCAAAAAAAGTTTTATGCCTTCATCTATAAACTATACCAAATAGACTGCATTCAGCTGGTCTTTCATTTACCAATCTCATTTTCCCTTCCCCTTTCATGGCTGCACATATAGTCAGCAGTTTCCTGTGAGTATCTTCCCCAGTCTAAACCTCAAGAAGATGAGTTGAGGACTCTTTCTATACAGATGTTCCATGTGGTGTTAAATAAATCAATAGCTTGCATATCAGCTTCACAGGTGAGCTGCTCCAAAGCTGTCACTCATACTGCAAGGAAGCTGTATCTTTCTAAGGCTGAAGCTTCACCATAGTTCCAGTCACTGCACGCTCATACACATTTGTCCACACAAGCAAGAAGAAATAACAATTCCAAGCATAAGTACCACTGTAGTCTCACACTGTCACCAGCCTCCTAAAGCCTTTTATAGAAAAGACTTCTACAGCATGGACTGGTTCTTGTTGTCTCCCGTAGTATCTCTATATCCTGCTTAAATTCTGAGAATCAAAACTGAACATAAACTCCAGCAGAATTCTATCACTCCTGGGTACAGACATAAACATCATTCCTCTTTTCTATTTGGATATCCTGTTAAAGCATATCAGGATCCCATCAAGGGGCCCTTGGCCAGAGCTGATTAGAAAGACAGCTTCTGCTGATGAACTTTCAACTACTTTCCCACCCTGGGATAATCTCTGGATCATGGTTTAAAGCTGTTTCTTATGCTGTATGCACAAACTTGAATTCTTTCCCTGGGTTTACATTGCCTCTACTTGGCTATAGTAGAACTACACAGAATGATGGCTAACCTGAAAAAGGAGCTAAAAACCAGACAAGGAGAGAAATGGAATAACCCATTAAATCACGAACATGTCCTATAAAAGTTGTGTGCTAGTATGCTGTGAGTCAAAAAGGGGAAAGCCTTCTGTCCTATTATCCATCTTGGAAATTGCCTGGAAAACCATCACATTGATGGAGTGGGTCTGGCACTATTCCAGAGAATTAAATTCACAACTGAAAATTAATTTTCAAAAGAGTTACCAGTTGCTGCTGGTATTTAAAAGGAAAGTGTACCTTCATTCTAGCATCCCAGAGTTCTTGTATGCACTATTATTTCAAATCATTTGGACATTTTGGGGAATATGGACACCCATTTTATTAACTGGTTTTAGTCATATGCACTGACAGTTGTCTTCCGTACAGATTGAAATTTTCATTTTAGGGCAACAGATTGTATGTTGAAATGAACACAGTCAAGAGTTTAACATGTGGACCTACCCTGTTCCCCTATGGTCCATCAGGGATTTAGCTGTAAAGCCCAAGGGGCCAAAGGTCAAACTTAAAGAAGCATGTTACATTATCTTTTATTTGTTTCATGTTGCAACATTTGTTGCACAAGCATGAAGGTATAAACAGCATGATGCTTCCTTATCAGTGACCTCTCTTCTGCAAGATTTATCCAGAGGGCAGAAGTAGGTTCCCCAGCATCATCACTGACTGATTTCACAGCTTCTGGATTACTCTAGCAGTAAGCCTTCTGAGAACGGTCTGGGCAGGGAGCAAAAGCCTTTGCTTACATTCCTTCTTCATTAACAAGGAAATAACTCAAGCTAATATAAGTATCAAGATTGCTTGCTGTAAATACACCCATGCATGCATGCCTCTATCTATCTATCTATCTATCTATCTATCTATCTATCTATCTATCTATCTATCTATCTATCTATCACAGGGAACCTACTGGTGGAAACTGTTAGTCAGAGATGCTCAGAAAATCAGGTCTGTCTGCCAGCTCATGGCTGCAACTTCTCCAAGCTTTTCGTGCCTAAGTGCTTAAAGTTCAACAACTATGGTCTATCGACTGTAGTTACTTGGAATTTCTGACTCAGTCTTTGGCCATGGAGTGAAATACAAGTCTTACTGTTGGGTCATTAGTTTGGCCTAAGTCAAGAAACTGACTGGCTGTAGGAGAAATGTTTCACCTTTAGGTCACTGGTTTGCATCCAGGACAGGTCAGTAGTAGATGAATGTCATAACCATCAGAGAGTTGTTTACAGTCTGATGCAAAATGAATTTGTCAGCTTACCAATTTCACTGCATACTCTAGGATCTACATCATCAGTGACCTTCACAACAACTTTAGAAATTCAGCAAAGGACTAAATGAGAGCCTGAGATTCCATGCTGAGTGATGGGATGTGGAGTCTCCAGATCAAAGCTGAAATACACAGATAAGGCAGTAGAACAGCTTGTGTCACCACAGCTTGTGTTCAACAGTCCAAGGACAAGAGGAAGGAGACTACAGCTTGCAGAGAGCTCAGCTTAATGCCTTAAAGTAATACTAAAATCCATTAAAAAAGTACAGTCTGTTTTTAGCAAATATTTTCCTAACTACGGATGTAAGCAGAAGGCACAGTTGTTTCTGTCAATACCCTGAAAGCACCAAAATCCTTTTCATCTAGCCTATATTAGGTGCTAGGAAAACGTTAATATTGACCATGAGGTGTGATTTAAAAGAGTCTCTTTAAACACACCTTGGTTACATCTGGTTAGTAACAGTAAGTTCATCACTGATGTTACGCCCAGTTACTTTTTCAAGGAATGTCAACATTTGAAGGCTGTAACTTACTGGCAGTTTAGTGTTATCCTGGGATTAGTATGAGAGGAGAGAAGTGGGCTGTGAGTTACAGGGGAATGTGTACTGTAAGAGATTTGGGAGGCCAGAGTTCTCATTAAGCCAAAATAAGGGATGTCCTAGGTCTGTACATTCTATTAATCACTACCTGGGGCTTACCAACAAAAGTAGTTTTTCCATTAAAAAATTCATTGTTTGTTTCAAGAGGAAAAGAATTATCCTATTTGCAGAGTTCAGCCTTGGGGGAAAAAAACACCAGAATTTCTTCAAAATATTCTAAAATCAGACAGAAGGCTTCAGAAGAGAAAATGTTTTTCTACTCCTGCCTGCAAGCAGCACTATTCCATCTCAAAATTTATTAAGTATTTACAAACTTGAGTTGACAGAAAAGATAATCTTCAAGCCACCAGCACATTAACAGCATCAAAGTAAGTAGATTTATAATTAGGGAATTAGCTATTAGGAAAATTAAGATCCCTGTCTTTTGAAAGAGTCCCAGTTAATAGCTCCAGTACACATTAGAGACTCATCAAAATGTGCAACCTTGTGTACAAATTAAAAAATAGGTGTAACAAACATAGCACAGCAAAGAAGAGCATATATAGAAAATGATAGTAATAAAGAAAAGTACAGAACAGACAAAAATGTAGCATCATAAGCTCCAAGAATATTTCCAGCTGGAAGGGACCTCAGGTCTCTCATCCTACCTCCTGGGACAGCTATCAGACCAGCCTACACAAGCCTTTACCCATCCAGATTTTGAAAATGATAGAGACAGTACAACTGCTCTGTGCAGTCTGTAGTGTTCAGAGTGTAAATGGAAAGAAAGAAACAGGCAGTGTAAAAAATGCAGAAGGAAACACAAAAGAACCTCAAAGTGATACTAGAATTGGCACAGAAAGAAAATAAAAGGGTAAGGGAAGAAAGTGCTGTTATTTTAAAAAGAAGAAAACAAGTACAGGAAAACATTTTTTTAGTACTTCAATTTATCCAGAAGTCTAATGTGAAGGGTCTGATTCTTTAATCCTTGATTTTGTAAAATAAAACAACAATCCAAAACCAAACCAGAAGAGAAAATCTTTATGCCCTTTAAGGTATCTCAGCACAGACTCCAGAGCCTGAGATACCTGAAATCACCAGCTGCTTTCAAAAAGGTAGGCTGCAGCAACCCTGCTGAGCTGTTTTTGACACATTTCTGCCAAAACATGGAGGATAAACAATGAATGACACTATTTTGTATGTTGAACTTCTTAGTTCCAACAGATACAAAGCTGTTTGAGAGCCCTGCAACTAAACACATCTACTATAAGACTGTTTCAATGTTTCCCATTTCAAGGAACTGGGGAATGGCAGGAAAGCATGGCAGGGCCATTTTCAGGGCTGGTGAACAGTGAGATTTAGGTAAACATTTTAAGTTTTGTTTCCTGGCCTATTTGTTCTGTTATCACAATTCTGATCACAGAACCTTCAAGCACAGGACAGCTTTAATGCTGGAAATAGGGAAGAGGAAGAATACTTGTTATCAACTGTTGCCACTACATGGTCGAACCACATGGAGACAAAAATGGAAGAACAAAATTATCACTAATTGGTTTATTAGCTGGTAGTAATGAGACACTCAGGGCTATTACAGCTCAGACACTGAAGGCACAAGGCCCTGGCTGGAAGAGTTTATACTGACCACAACCAGTCAGGGCATCACAGGATTTTATGAGACTAAGGGGCAAAAATATTTTCTGTTCAGACCCTCCTACCTTTTTTTACTTACGTGATTTGGTATTGCTAGGTCTTGATATCTTAATTTAATGCTTTAAAGAACTGTGTGTCAACAAGAGTGTGACTGCCCCAATGACTGAATCAATATGGAATTGTGTCCATGGAGATGGAGAAGGAGACTGGAAAGGCAGCAGAGGCAGCCAATGAGACAAATAAAAGG